ACGGGAGAGAACGGAGGCGGTTCCTTAGGGCCGCTGTGCGCCCAGGGACTCAACAGCTAGGAGGTGACCAGCACTGCGACTGGGTTTCGAACTCTAACCTGCGGGTCTTTAGGATGGACTCCATAGCACAGGGCAGGCATGATCAATAATTGCCTGCTTTCCACCTGGGGGAGTGAGGTGCCAGCAACCCGCAGTGGTGGGGATGGTGGCAGAGGAATTGGACCCCACGGGCAGTCTGTGTGTTTACATGGTTTCTCCATGAAGCCCTGGAGGGTGGACGTGGCTTTGTAGTCATGGTCCACTTGCGTGTTATCAGTGCCCAAGCCTGGCTCCTTAGCATCCTCTCTCTCTCTCTAATTTGCTTTCCCTCCAGCTCCCATCCTCCTTACTCCATGCTCCCTGAAAGCCACAGGGCAGTGGGTGGGGGTGGGGGATCGATATGCCTTGCTGCTTGGCTCCTGGGCTGGGAGAAGCAGTTGGGGGCGGGGAGAAGATCTACCCTAGCATCTCTTCACTCCAAGTCCCGGCTGGGCCAGAAGACCTTGGCTGCCTGGAGCTGCTCCTGGAGCCACCGGGGCCCTTCTCTTGTGGGGGAGCCGGGAAGGATGTTCTAGCTCTCAAGAGGGACCATGGGAACGGGTATAGCAGCACTGGGAAGCAGCCTGGGAGCCCCTTCACACCTCTCTCAGACTCCCCCACCCCACCCCCCACGCATAGGTGCCCAGCTGCCCTCAGTCCCAGGACAGGAGGGAGCTACAGGCTTTTGCAAGGCTCTCCCCTTGGAATCAAAAGGTGAGGCACATGGAGAATAAGAAAAGGGCCCCCTGCCCCTAACTCCCCTCCAGATGAGACCCCACAGAGAGGAGTCCAGGGAAGCCCCCGGGAACACCAGGAGGAGGGGCAAGGCAGGAGAAGGAGGTGGAGATGGTTATGTGGAGCAATGAAAAGGGGAGAGAGTCTCGCCCAGCAGATGGGGCTTGATTCCAGAGTGGAGCTGCCTGGGTAAGCTGGGGCTCCTCCTTTGTCCTTTCCAAGATGTGGCCCCAGGGACAGCAGCAGCACTGTGGGCAGGGAACATAGGCGCATGTGTGTGTACATGTGTGTGTACATGTGTGAGCATACATGTAAGTATACGTGTGTGTGAGCATGTGTGTGAGCATGCAGGTGTGAACAAGGATGTGTGTGTGAGCATGTGTGTGTGAGCATGCATGTGCATGTGTAAGTGTGTGTGTGATCATGCATGTGCGTGAGCATGCATATGTGCATGTGTGAGCACACAGGTGTGCGTGTGAGCATGTGTGTGAGCATGCAGGCATGTGAGAGCATGTGTGTAATGCAGGTGTGTGAACGGGTGTGCGAGCATGTGTGCATGCGTGTGAGCATACATGTGTGCATGTGAGCATGTGTGTGTAAGCATGCAGGTATGAATATGCAGGTGTGTGTGAGCATGCGTGTGTGTGAGCATGCATATGTGCATGGGTGCAGGGCAGAGTCTCCTCTTCAGAAATGGAGGGAGATGGATGCTGATGACCAAGAGTCCAGAATCCCCATTCCTGGAAACTGTGTGCCCTTGAGGTTAGCATCTGACTTGTTCTTGGCAACACCAGCGTGGGGACTTGAAGGGAGAGCTGGGATAAGTCAGACCCCTGCCCCACTGCAGGGTGCAGGGTAGAAAAAATTTGCAATGGGAGTAACCTGGAGTCTGTGAGAAGGAAGGAAGGAAGGCTCTGTGCCAGGCTCTGTGGTGGAAAGCTTCTAGGGGCTCATTGAAAGCTGGGCTCAGCAGTCTCTGTCTCACAGCTACCTGTGGGAGGACAGGGCTCTGAGCCCGTGTGCTTCTCCCAGCACGTTCCATCTCTGGGCCAATGCTGTAGAGAGGAGGCAGAAACAGAGGGCCCTGGCTTGGGGGCAAGGACTAGAGGAGGAGAGAGAACAGCCCAGAGGGCATGCAGTGTGGGCTCAGGGCTGGGCCCTGGACAGGTGGGAGGAGAAAGGTGAACCGGCTGAACTGGAGGTGGGACCTTCCAGCAGGGCCAGTGCTCTAAGCAGAGCTGCCAGCACCCACACCCCCATGAGGAGGGAGCTGGGGGAGGGGGTGGGGATACACAGGCTTGGGAGCGGGTGGCCCTAAGTAGAGGTGTCTGCAGAGGCTGGGCCATGGTCCCTTCTTGTCTGAGGCCCTCCTAGGTGCCAGGGCCAAGAGGTCTACACACACCCTGCCGGGGGGCCAGCTGACCTATGGGGTGAGGCCAGGCTGGACGTGGGTAACACCCCGAGGAGGACAGGAGACCAAGCAGCGTGGTGCTGCAAGAACTGGACAGCAGTGGAGACAGGCCCTCCCTGGAGGGAGCGGTGTGGGGTCTCCTCCCTACATTAGTCTTGTTTCGAGGCCCATAGCGAGCCTGCTCCAGGGCTGAGACTGTTTGCTGTCTCTCCCCCCTCCCTCCATGTTATTACATGGAGAAGCAGGTTCCCAAGTGGACCAAGATGCCACAGGGGGAGACTCAGCTGAGTGCCAGCAGCAAGGTCTTCCACTGACTAGGGGATGAAGGAGAGAGGGAGGGGGCCCTGGCAGACCTCCTACGTCATCCACAAGGGGCCTGCCCTTCCAGGAAGAAGCCATGAATCAGGGTCAGAGGCTCGGCACAGGTGCTCCTTTTCTCCCCTTCCAGGGTGCAGGTGCCTCGAGAAGAGGTTAATCAAGACCCGACTGGAGGCCCCATAGACGTGACGGTGACTCTCCCTGCACCCAGAGCTGACCCTGGTCAGATAGAGTTCCCCCGACGGAGCACCTACCATTTTCCAGGTTCTCCTTGGAACCAGCTCAGGAAAACGGCCCCCCTTCCCTAAGGGCCACACCTGCTCCTCACGCATCCCAGGTCTCCAGGGCTTTCTCAGCCAGGCCCCCCACATCCAGGGCTGCTGGCTGGGGGGCACTGGGAGCCCAGGTGCTCCCAGAGCTCTGGCTGGGAGTTCTCCCTCTTTAGTTCCTCAACACTGAGCTATCCTTCCTCCTGCTCCTGCTTCACTGCCTGGGGAGCGGTCACAGCCCCAGCTGTGAAGAAGGGCCAGGGAGCCCTCTCTGTCTCCACTGTCCTACATCCCTTCTCTTGCTTTATCTAGGCTGCATCCTGCAGAACACTGGGCCACCCTGTCTGGGAGGGCAGGGAGAGACTGGGTCTGCGTGGCCCAGCCCCTCCCCAACAGAGGATGGTCATCCCCAGGCCCTTCAGAATGTCAGAGTTGGAGGGACCCCAGATGTCAATCTGCTCAGCCCATTCCTGTTAGCAACCCAGAGGGGTTAGTGACTTGCCCAAAGCCACTCAGCCCATCAGTGGCGCACTCCGGACGGGACTGAACAGATCAGAGGGGCCCTGACGCCCCTTCCGTGGCTTCCCACCTCGTGCTCAGAATGCTCTTTCCCGAGGGCTCTGCCCAGGGCTCCTGCCATGCTCCTCCCCAGGTAGAGGGCAAGGACCTGGGGGTCCATTGTGACAAGGACCACCCTTCACAAAGGACTGCCGGCACCTGCTCGCTCCTCATGCCATCCCGTGCCCTCTGCTCTATCCAGCTAGAAGGGGCAGGATGGGGGGCAGCACTCAGCCCTTGGTGACACCTGTCTCTACGCGATTCCTCCGGGGACCCCCACGCCTTGGTGAGTAGATGGGGTAGGAGGGCTCTTGGTGACCTGGGTCCATTTTACAGGTGAGCAGAGGGACCCGCAGGGCTAAGTGACTTGCCCGAGTCACCTGGACGTTCGAGGCAGAGCCAGGACCCAACTTGGAGCGTTTAAGGCCAAAGTGCACACTCTTTACCTCGCCCACAGAGCCTGGTGCCTCTGAAGGCTCTAGGGCAGCAGGGACTCAGCCAAGTTTGCTACAGGCTGCTTACTGCTCTCTGCAGCCAGCTCCCAGGTTTCC